GAAGAGACGAGAATTTATTATATAATACCATCAGACGCCATTTTTAATCACATACGAGAACAAACTTTGTGATGTGAAATATTACGTTATTTTACAATTTATGCATTTAGGTATTTACTCCTTTCTATTACATTATTTTTAGATTCATTTTACGAATTTAAGGCCGAATATTAAACCGACATTGTCCTAAATTTCAAATATCAATATTTTGATTGTAAGAGGCGCATACTATAAAAGTCTATAAAATTCGTTTCAGAATACAGAACAGTTTCGGCTGTTATATTTATATAGGTTTTTAAGTGCCACATACATTTTATGATTTGTTTTTAAATGGATTTGTGTAATACTTTAAATCAATAAAAACAACAAATCTGTAAGGAATTTTCAACCAATAACATCCCTTTTCATGTCCAAATCGAACAAGGGAAAATATGTTTTTCAAATACAACCCTCATGGAGGTCACAACTTGATGTTCGACAATTTTACATCAAATTCTATTCAATAGCAGGAAATATTGTTAGGGTTATGAGTGAGGGGAGACTTCCGACTGCCCGAATATGGTTTACAATGCTAAGAAATGTTAAGAGGTTACTTGAACACCCTAACATTGATTTCCTTTATTGCTTTAAGATGTTTTTTCATTATTTCAACCTACTGACAGAGTGTCGATATTAAGAATTTAAAAAATACAATAAGAAGTAGCATATGTGTTCTTCCAAACTATCCTCTACATCGAAATTTTTTTCTATGAAGAAATCTATTCAGCAGTAAGGCTACAAACTCTAACAAACATCGATTCATCTAAACTTTCTCTTCTATTCTAACTAATATTACAAATGCGAAATTTTAGATGGATGGATGGATGACGCTAGTGTTTGTAGCCTAAACTGATGTAGGGATATCTATGAAGTTTGGCATAGGCTAATAACTTTTGTTTTTTTACACGCAGACGGAATCGTGGGCAAAAGCATGTCTATAATATTAGTAAGATATAATTATGTTGAAGTCAATATCAAGCAGCGGTCAAATAGTTAACATGCGTCTTCAACTAATCAGGGTCTAACTATATTTTTAAAAACAAAACACTTTTATTGGCGCTAAAATATAAGAGTACGTAGCCAGTATCCGCAGTGTTGCCCATAAAAGCGTTGTCATTGCGTGAAAACGAATTATTAGGGGGCGAAATGCAATTTCCCCGTCCAAGGCACCGGCCAATATGTCTCCCAGACTCAGCCGTGGACCAAATGAATAAAAATCAACCACACGGACGCGGCCGTTTGTTACTTCCCGCGCAAACTGAGAGAAATGCGCGACCGGGTGCGGGACGGGAGGCCAGGGGAGTGTACTTCCCTGTCACTACGGAAATAAACATCCTTTTGAAAGTTTATTTGCGTTTCATCATTAAAATTTATTAATTGAATATCGTTGCATTTTGTTGTTTCGACCGTTCTGAAATTACTAGTAGTTACTTTCATAGAACATCGCCCGTCCTCGCTGACCTTTCGTAGGACCTAAAAGGAAAGTATCCGAATGCTTCTGGTGTCCAGAAAATTGTCTATTTTTATGTCACTTTTAATATCTAGTTAATAATAATGATAAGAGCTGATCAACTAATAATCTTCCTAATGTTAAATACGTTTAGATGGATGGAGGTTTGTTAAAGTTAACCTTAACAGCTAAACGGATTTCAATGAGATTTGACATAGAAGTATTTTATACATAGCTGTCACCCGCCCCGCCTGCATAGTATAAAATAAAACATAAGTTAGTAACTAAGGTGTTCTAGACTCCAAGTCTGGAAAATTTTATTGAGATCAGTTCAGCTTTTTAAGCTACAAACTCTAACATCGATTCATAGATCCATCTAAACCGTCGCATTTATAATATTAGTAAGATTAAGTCAATCTACAATATGCTGTTTTTATATAAATAAGTATTGTAGTTTTCTGTTATGCAGTGAGCAATATCTAATACAAAGCTAGACGTAGGAGGACGGCACTCCACTAAGCGTTCGAGTTTCAGTTTGACTGGCTTCCAAATGAGAAAAGTTCCCGACGAAATGTCGACGAGTCAATATTAACTATACACCTACAATTTTAACTCATCGCCTACTCTAAAACACATTCATTCTATTTCAAACCTTATTACTAACGGAATAAGGTATCCAAGATTAGATTGTTTTAATTTTCAAATGACGTTGATAGTTGGTTTTTTCATGCCGCTTACCGATAAAGTTTTTTCTAATAAGGTTGGTTTAACTGCATTCATTTTGTTTTGTTAAGGTAATGAAAAATTATTTTTTCAGTAAATGGTGCAGTTATTGAGTATATTTTTTCTATTATTAGCTACATTTCGAAAAACTTTAATTAAATCGTGATTTGTGACGTCATAAGTCATGATGTTTTAATAGTAGTTATGTTTTGTTGAAAATTGAAAAGTGGACCGTTATGAAAGCTGAGATTTTAGAACAAAGATAACGCCTTAATCAAGTAAAGACCATAACGTCGCAAGTAAAGGCCGGCGCAGATTAAATTTATGCCCCCCCTAAAATAATTAATTCCCTTTAACTTCATTAAGAAACCCGCATAGGTGTAATTACAATGAGCCAAGGAATCTTAATTGTCGAATTGAGCTCGTGACACACGGCTCCCAAGCTTCGACAGCACAAACCCAGCGAACAGCAAACAAACCTTAAAGGAAAATTAAATACAGCCCACAGACAAATAAGTGCATCATAACGCATAAAAAGAATTGTTCTTCGGACTGAAAAAGTCTAATTTTAGCGTAGTCCATCCCATATATATGTGTTTAGTCATGCGCAGAAGTGCTAAAAACTTGCATAATACATTTCTAAGACAATATTGTTTATCATGACGAAAAGCTTGATTCATGTCTGTTTCAACAAAATAATTTTTATGTTGCAATTACAATGATTTGCAGATACATTTTAACATGTTTTTCGATCTTAGCGTCCGTATGTCCTTACATCCGCGTGTTATTCATGATCATAATGGAATGAATGTGTGTCGGTCAGGGGGCACGGGGGGCACCGGGGGCACGGGAGCACTGACAGGCGACGCAACAATAAGATATAATGCTTCTATTGTGGCCGCGTCTCAAGACAAAGCCGTGATCCGCGGCCGGCCATTCAATACCCAGAACGGAATTAAACTCTAAATGCGCTACTTCCTAATATGTGCTAGATTAATATTGTGAGTAAGGATTTGTAAAGTACAAGCCAGCTTCTAACGCTGATGTAATACGAAACTTCTAAAGACTACTACACACCTTTAGATTTAATTAACAGTTACTGTACAGTTAACACTCACGTGTGTAGGCAATATTATAACTGTCGGTTGTATTCTCAGTCTATCCTACACGCACCAGTTTTAACTGTTCTGTGCTCAAAACTGACGGTCTTTAGCCAGCTTTGGGTTCTAATACATATTTAATATAAAACCGCATTGTACTAAAAAGCTAGGCATATTAAAAAGACAAGCTGTTGCTCGCGACTTTACCGGCGTGAAATAAAAAAGATATAACCTATGTTACTCAGTAATAACATAGCTTTTTAATGGTGCAAGAATTTTTGTAATTGCTCCATTAGTTTTTGAGTTATTTCAATACATACAAAAATCCAAAAATACAAACCTTTCCTCTTATAATGTTATAGTATATGTTTAGTTTTGTTTAATTATTTTTTCGAACCTACCGCCGTTAACATAAGTTAAAAATAAAGTGATCTGTGAAGACGTGTGAGTTTAGTGTATTAATTGTATATCCCTAAGATAGCTAGTTTTTTAATTGTAGATATATATTTTAGATATATATACATACATAGTTAAATTTTAGAAACAGAATATTTCCTTCGACATGTTTTTAAATGCTGGTTTAGTTTAAAGCGGCATTACTCTAACGTTCAACTATTAGGTGTTTTTGTCGTCGGTACAAGGAAATACCAGTGCACTCCTAAATAACTCAAAGTGTCAGGGACGCTGAATTTATCGGAGGAGCGGCGTAAGAGTAGAAATTACGCTGAATAATCGATCTTTATACCCGACGGACGAGCACAGTGAAATAAAAAGGAAATAAAAACCTCAAATTCATTGACTTGTGTTTTCAACAATAAAAATATGAGTTTTCTCATATCTTATTCGCTTTTTACTAATAAAGTAGATGCAAATTTTAAGCTTTCATTATCTAAGTGCTTTAATATTCTCCAAAATTGTAAAAAAAAAAGAGATTGATGCCCAGTATTTATATACAAAGTTAAAGCAAAGCCTTTTATAGAAATAAAAGCAACTGAAAGTTGCATAAGAATTGTGTCATTACTGTGTAAAACAGCAATACAATCATATTTACATCCTCACGGAAACAATAACCATCATCACTATGCCCTTATCCATACGGAGGGTCGGCACAGTATGTGCTACTGTTCCATACATCTCTATCAACCGTCATATCTAAATTCCCTTTTTCAGCATATCTCCATCCCATGTGTGAAAACACAATCCATCCATACTATCTTCGGTGTTCCTCTACCTTTATAGCCATTACTGAAATGTTAACAAAACTAGTGTAAATACCATCGATAGATCTAATACGTCTTGCTTCAACACTCACCTGGAAAACTACACGCACGTTCATTTGTTTAATATAGTTAGTAACTTAGTATTGACATTATAACGAAAGGAAAAGCAAATAGAAATTGCTGGATCAAGCCAAGACCCACAAAGGGCTGCATATCGATAGAAGAAGAAATAACTTAGTATATTTTTCAGAAACACAGAACGAAACCGTGGTCAAAAGTTAATTATTTATTGATAAATAAACATTGAAACGTCACTATTCAATATTGTGAAACATTCTTATCGCTATTATTGGTAAATATTTATCAGAATGATAACTGATTTTTGTTCAGCACGTCATACGTTTCCGTAAATGTTAGTATAAATATTAACGCATTAACAGAGAGCACCACAGTATACTTGTTAAGACGGAGCTGACAATTTCAAGAGTTAAACATGGCTTTCAACAACAAAGTGGTAATAATAACTGGGTCCAGCTCCGGTATCGGAGCCGCCACCGCTATCACCTTTGCTAAAGAGGGCGCTAGTGTCGTCATAGTGGGACGCAATGAAGAGAAGATGAAAAATGTAAGCAACAAATGTGAAAGTTTCGGTAAGAAGCCATTGGTAGTTAAAGCAGACGTTTCAAATGACGCTGACGCTAAGAGAATAATAGATGAAACTATAAATAAATTTGGTAAATTAGATATTCTAGTTAACAACGCGGGTATTTCTGAAGAAAATGATATCACAGGTGATGATTTTATGACAAGTTTCGATCGCATTATGAACGTCAATTTAAGATCGGTTGTTTATCTGACGCATCTGGCGATACCGCATCTGATCAAAACAAAAGGAAACATCATCAATATATCAAGCGTAGCTGGACTTTCAATTCTTGGTACTTCTGCTTTTCTATCATACTGTACATCGAAGGCTGGACTCAATCATTTCTCACGCGGAGTCGCGCTGAAATTAGCTGAACATGGCGTCCGTGTGAACATCGTGAGCCCGGGACCGGTGCGTACCGATATTCTCGAAAATCCAGCCATTACAAATTTCAACTGGGATCACTTCGAAGCGAACACAGCCCTAAAAAGAGTGAGTGATCCAGAAGAGATCGCTGATCTGATTCTGTTCTTGGCCAGCGATAAGGCGAGAGGCATCACTGGGTCTAATTTCGTTTCAGATAACGGGCTTTTAGTGAAAAACTAAAGTGAATAGTAAATACAATTGTTTTCCTGTGGTTCACTTAATATTTGCATATTAGAATTTAATATTGGATAATTATAATAAATGACTGATCGTGAGATTTCATTTTATTTGCACAAAATCACATATACGCCGTTTATTATTTAAAACATTCTAATCTTACTTCTTACTATCTTACTAATATTAAAAATGTGAAAGTTTAGATGAACGGATGGATGGATGGATATTTATTAGCGTTTGTAGCCTAAACGGGTGAACGGATCTCCATGAAATTTGGCACAGGTTTAGAACATAATCTAGAAGAACACATAAGCTACTTTTTATCCCAGGAATAGTTACGGTTCCCGTGGGATTCATTAATTTAGTTTTTTAATGTTTACTCGATCATTCTGCAACGGTTCAACATATCTTATTGAAATTTGGCACATATATAAAACAAAGTCTGGAGTACACATGGGATAAGCTTCATCCTCAAGAAATGTCCGGTTCCCGAGGGATACTTAGCTATTTGTAATTTATATAGTTCGTATGTTTTCTAATACCACGCGGACGAAGTCGCGGGCAACTGCTCGTATAAGCTAATATTATAAAGAAGAAATATTATATATCTGTTTATGTATTGAATTCCCGCAAAAACTACTGGGCTGATTATAAAAAATCTTTTACCATTAGAAAGGTAATTTGTCTTTGTGTAACATATACTAGCCCGTGAAATTAAAATTTCAAGCGGGTGAAGTCGCGAGCAACACCTAGTTTTTAATAAAATGTTCAGTATAAAGTAAACCTTTTTGATATTAATAAGTACATACAGACAATCTAACTAACTAGTCAAATATATGTGAATCTGTGGTCGAGTTAAAATATATTTTTATTTGACATCGGGCGAGCCACACAATACGTGAAACAGACGTTGAAAATACTAAAGCATAATACAGAAACATAATTTAAAACCAACATAATCATTCACAACATTTTTGTGTTAATTTTGTGAAGATGATTAAGAGGTTTTTAATTCGAAGCCATCAGAATGCCTCAAGAACGGTCAAGTGAACACAAAAAAAGTCTTAAAGTCCTATACAATAAAGTCGCTTTTCGTGGCATACGTTTGCTACGTTCTCCTTAACCTTGAAACTAATCAAAACTCTTCACAAACATGAAGATTATTTCCGATTGTTATACAGAGTATTTCTTATAAGACAGTTTAACAAATGTAAAAAAACATACAAAATATAGAAAATACCTTCTTTCTTATTTGAACTTTATATTATCGAAGATTTATGTATTTTTTATGAATTAAATCTATAAATTATAAAAAATGAAAGCCGTTTTGTAAAATAAAAACTTATTTTAACTACATATGAACAAAGTTCTGGTGTAAAGGTAAATTGTTGATAAATATAAAATAAAAACTCATTACTAAATAAATTATCCGTCATCAGACGGAATATCAATTACATTTATTACTTTAGTACCCACTTATCACGGTTATTAACAATAGAATGACGTGCAAAAAAACGCGAAACATGCGCAGACCTTGCCTTAAGTTTATTTATGTATCAATAAATATTACTACAATATAAACTTTAAGTCACAAAGGTGATGATTGCAATAATTAGGGCCTGTCCCACTACTGGCTGATAGAGGCTCAGATAGCGATAAAAGTGACGTCACTGTCAGAAAGAATACCAAAATCCGTTACTTCCATCACAAACGTTGAATTGTTATCTGACTATTAACAAGAATTGTGGGCCCTTAATGTGATAATAAAAGGCTCCAGTTTCGGTATCGGTGTCAGTACTAGCGTTTGCTAAAGAGGGCGCCAGTGTCGAAATTAAGACACAATAAAAAGAATTTAAAAACTTTAAGCTACAAATTTAATATTTTTTTTTCACTAATTCCGTCTTTAAAACATGTCAGCGATAATTAAGTTTTAATAAAACAAAGTTTGCAAGGATGCAGACTCAAAAGCAATAGTTTCGACAATGTAACGGTAACCATGGCCCAGATCTGATAGTGATCGAAGTCAATCCTCGCCATCTGGGTCAATATCGTCAACATAATAGAACGCGATATACAAAAAAATGTGTAAAAAACGGGTTGTCTTCCTCCTTATCCTACTCCCATAAGGTCGGCGCAACAGGTTGTTGTCCTCCACATAACTCTATCATACGTCATCTCAGTCATCACTCCCTTCTTGATCGTGTCACCTTTCACGCAATCAATCTTTTTACGTCTACTTCTACCGGTGTACACTTCCACACTCATAACTAACGTTCTCCTTGTAACATGAGAGTCATCCCTCCTCATAAAACGCCCATGTATTTTAAACGAGTGAAAAACAGAATTGTTTGCTACACTTGACGTCCTCTGGTTGCAAAGTTCAAAAAGCCATGACACGTTAAAAATCGATTTTACTACTAAGCTACATAGTTCAGAAATAAAACGTTTGTAATGCTATTTTGTACTTTGGTACGCATTATCTTATTAACAAACTTATCAGAATGACGGTAAAATATTGCGCAATACGCGCCTATGTTCACTTTAAAGCCTGCTACAGACGCTCAGTTATAACAGTTTTTACAGAATAGTCGAACTGATCAGATATAATTGTATGTAGACAATTTTTAACAATCAATTGAATTATTCAGTTAAAGTTTTGCCTACACGCACATTTTTAATTATTTGTACAGTTCAGTGAAATTTGTCAACAGTGAGTGTGAAGGTAGCTTAATTATTATATGATATTTATTTATCAGAAGATATAATAACAGTATAAAATTTAGGCACAGGCGAAGATAACAATAGTTAAAAAATGAGTTTCGACAATAAAGTGGTAATAGTGACAGGTTCCAGCTCCGGTATCGGTGCGACCGCTGCCCTTGCTTTTGCTAAAGAGGGCGCTAATGTCGTCATAGTGGGACGCAATGAAGAGAAGATGAAAAACGTAAGCAATAAATGTGAAAGTTTCGGGAAGAAACCATTGGTAATTAAAGCGGATGTTTCAAAAGATGATGAGGCAAAGAAAATAATAGATGAAACAATAAATCAATTTGGAAAACTGGATATATTAGTGAATAATGCTGGTCTATTCGTACCTAATGATATTACTAAAGACAATTTCATGGAAGGTTACGATCACGTAATGAATGTAAATTTACGAGCCCAAGTTTACATAACCCATTTGGCGATACCACATTTAATTAAAACCAAAGGGAATATTGTAAACATATCTAGTATAGCTGGAACTTCAACCTCAACTGCTTCGAGTATATTATCTTATGCTGTATCTAAAGCTGGACTCAATCATTTCTCTCGAGGAGTAGCTCTGAAACTGGCGGAGTACGGTGTGCGTGTGAACACGATCAGTCCGGGACCAACGCGCACTGATATACTGGATAATTCTTCAGCTCCTATCACTTGGGACAACTTCTTAGATATGAACCCTTTGAAACGAGTCAGTGATCCTGAAGAGATCGCGGATTTGATCCTGTTCTTAGCGAGCGAGAAAGCTAGAGGTATCACTGGATCTGAATATATTTCTGATAACGGTTCTTTACTTGTAAGATGATATGTCTTGTTAGGGAAAAAAATGTTCAATTGTTATTTGTTGTTTAATTTGGAAAAATTAGAATATTTAAAATGCCCCATATTGTTGTTTTATTTAACACTTAAAATACTTTTTAAGATTAGATTAGTTTCATCAATACTGCTGACTTCTAAAGCAGTTTCTAGAACACTAATTACATTTAATACACCACTACATTTTATTATCTCAACAATAAATAGTTTCGTGATAGTATATTTGCTATCGATGTTGCAAAAATTTGAATGTGACGTCACGTCACGTCGAGTCGCAATTGCCCGTTTGTGTCTTAACATGAGTTGCACGAATCGTCAGATTTGCCAGATGTCAAAATACCACATGGAAGACAGGCGGGAAGTAAAAGTAATTCTGCATAACTTTTGATGAAATTCCTCCTATTTTCTTATAAGGTAATGATAATAAAGGGAAGGTGATTTAACGTTGTGTCGGACACATTAGGCAGGGGAAATATCCACTTTCTGTTTGTCCCCTCCTCCGTCGATTAATGGTTGGGAACAAATTTGCAATTGCGGAAGTCTATAGGCAGCTTGCTTCGCTATTTCTGCGAAACCAGATGGCCGCTTGCTTGTTTGGCACAATAGAAATTGACTTAGACCTAAAATCATTAATCTTCCGCATATGTAGAACATGGATACAATAAATTATTATCATATACTTGTGAATAAAACATTAACACGTCTGTCACACTACTTAGTACTTTGGAACACGCTTATCGCATCTTTAACAAAATTATCAGAATGACAAGCAAAAAGTCGCAGAAATGCAGCCATTTGGAGTATATATTTTTGTGTCAACAGATATTATCTCAGTATAAAATTTATGCAGCAAGTTGCAGTTTATAATTGTCAAAAATGAATTTCGAAAACAAAGTGGTAATAGTGACTGGGTCCAGCTCCGGTATCGGAGCTGCTGCCGCCATCTCGTTTGCTAAAGAGGGCGCTAGTGTCGTCATAGTGGGACGTAACGAAGAAAAGATGAAAAACGTAAGCAATAAATGTGAAAGTTTCGGCAAGAAACCATTGGTAATTAAAGCGGATGTTTCAAAAGATGATGAGGCAAAGAAAATAATAGATGAAACAATAAATCAATTTGGAAAACTGGATATATTAGTGAACAACGCTGGTATATATTTGCCCAATAATATTACAAGCGACAATTTTATGGACGATTACGACCGCGTAATGAACATAAATTTACGTGCTCAAGTTTACTTGACGCATTTAGCGATACCACATCTCATTAAAACCAAAGGGAATATCGTTAACGTATCTAGTATAGCTGGAACTTACACCAATGGTGCTCCAAATTTTGTTTCCTATTACGTATCCAAGGCTGGACTGAATCATTTCTCTCGTGGAGTTGCACTAAAACTAGCGGAGCACGGCGTCCGTGTGAACATCATTAGCCCGGGACCGGTACACACTGATATCTTGGAGAATTCATCGGTTCCCCTAACTTGGGACAAATTAGAGGCAACTACTCCTATGAATAGAGTTAGTCAGCCTGAAGAGATCGCAGATATGGTCCTCTTCCTGGCAAGTGACAAAGCGAGAGGCATCACTGGATCTGAATTTGTTTCAGATAACGGTGCATTATTGCGATAAATGTGTGATAATAATTGCTGCAATAACCCTGCGATGTCGTTTTATTTAACACCTTCTAAGATTTCCTTTTTTGTGATACTGAGACGTAATTATTTATGTATCGATACAGTAGTTTTGTAACAGTAAAAGGTTATACTACTTATTTCAGATTTCTATATAGTTGGACGACTCCTTAGGCCGCTAGACAGAAAGGGGCACCAAAGGTCTGCGAATTAACGTCCTACAAGACGTGTACAACCTAGAACTCTGCCCCAGGACACTAGTAGCACGCAAACCGGACTTTAAATCCAGTCATAGTTCAAACTCTTCAATTATTTTTCAACTGGCATTGAGACGTTAGCTCGAAACAAGTTTTGATGCAAGTCATCACAGCAAAATAACACAATAAAAATTCAGTACTGTGACCTTGACAGTGGTTATGTATTCGTAAACCGGTTGGTAAAACCTGATTGTTATCTTGAAATAAATACCCAAAAATACTTATAAAATAAATTTGTTGATCTTACACATATCTTATGAAAAAGCAACTTTATTTTCTCAAAACAAATCCTATCTTTATCTAAACTTTTGTACTCATACTTCATTCTAATGTTATACATGCGAAAATTAAGATGGATGGATGTTTGTTAGAGTTTGTAGCCTAAACGGCTGAACGGATATCGATGAAATTTGGCATAGATGTCGAGGATAGCCTGGAAGAACACATAAGCTACTTGCATTTGTTTTTTTTAATCCACGCGGATGTAATCGCCGGCTAAAGCTAGTAATGTATTATAGTAAAATGTAAACACACACTTCTTTATTATGTAGGATGTCAGCAATTACAGCATATTTATTAATAATTTTAATTTTATTAAAATATCTACACTTACGACACGCAACATATTTTCACGCTATTTATTTTAAGGGGTGAATAATTTGGAATCAAATGTCATACGAGAAAGAAACAAAAACTACAGGCGAATAGTAGCAAAGAAGCAAGATTGCCATAGTAACGGTAATTGTTAGCCAATAGCAAAGACCTTCGATGTTATTTAAGTATTTAAATTTCGACATTTCCAATTGGAAATGTAAATAGTAAAATATTATTTTTATATTGTTACGCGGATGAAGCTACACGGGAACTGCTAGTAATCTACTAATGATACCATTATCAAAGCATATCGATATGGCCAATGAGGCATTAGAGCCAATATTTGACAACTATCGGACAACTGTTTAGTCTCGCTTTGATTCCTATGAGCTTGTATGGAGGTGCGTACACTTCACTATCTTTAGTTGTGCAACTAAACTGTTAAATGGGCAGCATAACAATCGACAATCGCACAAGCGTAGTGTGATAGTTTAGTTAAAACGCGCGCATACTCTTATCTGTACATTATTTCGATTCGAAGAAACATAAAACTATTCAACAATAACGTTGCAAAATAGATTAAGAATGTAATTAACAATCTCTTACGATAAATTGATATCAAATTATTGGAAAAATGTCTGGTTTTAATAGTGTACTAAATAAAACAAAAGGTGATAGTACATTTTTAATTGTAATTTATTAAACCTAAATGTTATATTCTTCATTGATTTTGCTGTGATTTAGATTTAAAAATATATGTCGTATAAATAGCGTAAAAGAAAACTCCTGTAGAATATACTTGTTCCCTATTGTTTCAATAAAAGCCCGTTATCTGAAACGAAATCAGACCCAGTGATGCCTCTCGCCTTGTCACTGGCCAAGAACAAAATCAGATCAGCGATCTCTTCTGGCTCACTGTATCTCTTTAGCGGTGTGGTCGCTTTAAAATGATCCCAATTGAAATTTGGAATGGACAGATTATCTAGAATGTCAGTACGCACTGGCCCAGGGCTGATGATGTTCACACGGACTCCGTGCTCGGCTAATTTTAAGGCTACTCCACGCGAGAAATGATTGAGTCCAGCCTTTGATGTACAGTATGAAACCAGGGCTGCAGTACCAGTAGTAGAAGTTCCAGCTATACTTGATATATTGACAATGTTGCCTTTTGTTTTGATCAGATGCGGTATCGCCAGATGGGTGATGTACACCGCCGCGCGTAAGTTTATGTTCATTACGCGATCGAAACTTTCCATAAAATCATCACTTGTTATCTCGGTCTGTTCTGCCATACCTGCGTTGTTAACTAGGATGTCTAATTTCCCAAATGTCTTTATAGTTTCATCTATTATTCTCTTAGCGTCAGCGTCATTTGAAACATCCGCTTTAACGACCAATGGCTTTTTGCCTAAACTTTCACATTTAGTGCTTACATTTTTCATCTTCTCTTCATTGCGTCCCACTATGACTACACTTGCACCTTCTTTAGCAAACGCGAGGGCAGTGCCCGCCCCGATACCGGAGCTGGACCCTGTCACTATAACCACTTTGTTATCGAAACTCATTCTGTCCCGCGATGCGTTCCTATCAGCTTTGATATTAATACTGAAGTTGTATCTGGCCAGACTACTATTATAAATAGCCAATTAATTGCGTCATGTGTAAGACCAAATGTTGGCTCGTCATCGTCTATAGTTTACTGTATTAGAAGCTACTTTTGTATTATTAGTTTCGAGTTTAAAATACAGATATTACGCTGTGACATACTTAGTAATTTTATTTTGATTTATTATTCCTCTCAGATTGTAGTTAGTTGTCTACTTATGTTTGGTAGAGGATAGATTTAAAATATTACGTTTACACATGATCTTTTCGATAGTAATGATTTATTACATTGTTGGACATTTTACATATTTAAATGTCGTCGCATTCAGCTGTTTTTCATTTTTAAAAAAATAAAAAAAAAATAAAAATACTTTTATTGTTGTCATAAAAACAGTTTCTTATGAGCTAAATAAAAAAAAAAAAAAAGTTAAATCGACAACAATGGGCTGCAGGCTCAGCGTGGA